TGAATAGAAGCATTCTGCAAAAGTCTTCAGTTGGCCCACGTGTAAGAATGGACACTGGATGAAAACCCTACAACTGTGAAATCAGTTAAAATGTTTCTCCTTCATTTTGAAGAGTGTTGGAACCGTGGGTGAACTGAAATGTATTTCTAGTGTGCAGGTGGGCATAGTAGTTATATAACTTTTTCAAAAAGAATAATAGACCATTGATTGATGTTTTTGTTCACTATTGAAATTTTCTTACTGGATTTCATGTGGCAGGTTTGGGATATTTCTTTCCCTTTATATATATTACACTTTTTCATAAAAATATCATTTGGGGCACAAAAAAAAGCTCTATTTATTTTTAAGTATTTAACAACAGTTAAAAAATGCTTATGGATCGGACCAGCAGTTGGCGTAATGGCTATGTCGTTGGACTCCCACGTAGTCGACTGCGGTTCGAGTCCCAGACCCGGTGGCTTAAACTCACGCTGGGCACATGTGCGTGCGTGCCCATGATCCCAAGAAGAGAATGAGAAGGGATTGCAGTGTGACCATCCCCTAAGGGGTGATTTCTTGCTTTCTGTCTCTGTCTTCCTGGCAAGCACACGTACCGTATAGCAAAAACCTCTCAAAAAAAAAAAAAAATGCTTATAGACATCAGAAAGAGTGAACTATGGATGATTAAATAAGAACGTGATATATTTTCACCAACCATTAGTTTTTTGGTGACATTAATCATATTACATGTATAATAAAAGTATAGAATATTAAGTGAGCTTTAGGTAAAGAACCATAAAGGAAATGTAACTGGGGGGAATCTCAAATTTATTAACTCTTACCTGTAACATGTGTTTTGTTAAATACTCCTTGTGGGGATGGGGTCTTGCCAGTGTATACACACACAGCAGTTTTCAAAGCACCTCCGCGTTATCTAGTATCTTGTACATCACTAGAGGAGTTAAGGCCTTTAAGGTCCTTAAACCTTGAGGTCAGGGTCTGGGGATCAACTTCGTATTCTTAAGAACTTGTCAGTGTTCAGAAGTGTTCGAATTGCTCGTGGGAACTGAGCTGGCTGCCATGGGGTAATGCAGGTCCCAGGTTTACAGCTGTCACCTCTTACTGTCGACAACCCGGAAGAAGCCACCTTTCCTATTGACCTACCATTGTTATTTGAGCTTCTTGTCAAAGCCCTAGCCTGAGTCCTGGTGGGAGGCTGGCTGCGGAGGTTGCCGGATACCCTAGGGTGCCAGCGAGTGGCGTGATCAGCCTGAGGACACTCGTGTGAATGTGGCGGTGGTTTTACCCTGTAATTCTCACCCGGCGGCTGCCCGTGTAGCGGCCTCGTACTGTGCCTTCTGACTGGACGGGCTCTGGGTCTGGCCTGCTCAGTCCCTGTGCTGCTGCCCCCCTCGTGCTGCCGTGTCTGCCATCCCAACACTCGTGATGTCTGCGGGTCCTCGTGGGTGTACGGCCTTCAGTGGAGAGAGCCGCGGCGGTGGTGGCAGTAGTCAGACTGTCCCTGCTCCTTCTTCATCGACGTGAAACAGCACAGTTCCGAGCTAGTCCCAGAGCCGCCAGGGTGTGTAGAAGGCGCCTGGCTCAGGCCTGTCTCCAGCGGGGGGTGGTGTCCATTCAGAACCAGATTCGCAGGGCAGGTCTAAAATGTGCCATTCTTCATATCTAAGACCTTTTACTTACATCTCAGTGTTTCGTTTGGCATCGTTTTGCAGTGACTAATTTCTTTAGTTTTATAATTTTTTAAAAATTTTTAAAAATGTTTTTGACATAGGGGATGGGCACTCGCCAGATAGAAACAGTGAGAGGGAGAGAGAACTCACCCCCAGTGGGAATCCCTTCCGCACTCCCCTCTTGGGATTTTGGGCTCGTGCCCTTGGTGATTTTTTCAAGCCTCCAAGGACCGAGTTTTGGGACTCGACCCCCAGTCGGCCATGAGAGTTCAGCGCCGTAACCTTCGCGTCACCTACCGGCCCCTTGTTGCATGATTTCCGATTCAGGTTTTAGGGTTCAGTACGGTTTTTCAAAGCAGACACTCGTGTGTGATCACCAAATCGCGGATAGTACCCCACCTGTCGTCTTCCGGGAAGACCATTGCTGTTCTGAACACCCGTAGCTCTTCTGCTAGTTTTTAGGCTATGTGTTTACCCCCCGCCACCAGCTCTGTGCCCCCGCAGTCTGGGGCCTGCGGTGCCCTCTGTGCCTCCGGTCCTTCGAGTCCTTGGTTTCTGCCATGGACTGGGACTGCATCGCGGAGACACAGTCTGTCTCTCAGATCCGCCTCACCTCTCTCAGCTTTGCACCTCAGTGAGTCACTGTGGGTCAGGCGACAGCACCTCGTTTCCCACGTGAGCAGCTTTTCTGCAGGCCAGCTGCTAGAGTGCTCTGCTCTGACGGGTGACCCCATCCCGGAAGCCCGTTTGGAGGTCTGTCCTGGCATCCCATGGCTGGCTCTTCGCTCTTCCCAGCTGTGCAGAGGGTTTCTGGTCCAACGTGGCCCGCCTGCCTGTTTCTGAGCCATTGCCTGCCTTTCAGGGACCCTATTAGCAGTCCTTGCCTGCTCCGATGTCTCCAGCTGCTGCCCTGTGCGTTCCACAGGGGTTTTAGATTGAGGCTTTACATTTTGGTCTTTGATCCACTTTGAGTTGCTGTTGTTAATGGTGAGAGATGGGGTCCACTTTCATTTTTCTTTGCCTTGTGAGATTTGACTATGATGAACCTTGGAGAGGCTCTTCTTTTTTTAAAAATCGTTTAGTTTGTTTGTCTATGTGTTGTCATAGGGCACGTGCGCTCGCTGGAGAGAGGCAGTGAGCGGGAAAGTGAGAAATCCCCAGTCATCCCAGGGGGATGGCCATGCTGTAATCTCTCCTCCCCCGTCCCCCGAGGTTTGGGCATGCACATCTGTGTCCAACGTGTTTCAAGCTGCTGCATCCAGGACTCGGACTGCAGTCAGCTATGTTGGAATTCAGCGCCTTCACTGTTACGCCGCCTGCTTCATCTCCAGAATTTTTTTTTAAGATGTTTCTTTATTGAATTCCTCGTTGATATGATAGAAGGATTTTCTCGTCCCCTGGAACTGTTTCCTTCTGTAGCTCATCCAGTGTTGTTACAGTCTGTGTTGTTACCCTGTTCTGTTCAGCCACTGAGGTTGGCGGGCCACGCAGGCCCTGGGCCGGTGGTCGGTGGTCGCCGAGCGCACAGCGGGCAGCAGTCAGAACCCGAGCGGGACCTGGCAGGTGGTGTGTGGAGGCGGTGGGCACGGGGACCTGATGGCCTACCTGTCACTCCTGGATGCAGGGTGGCCCTCAGGTCCCGAATGTGTCCCTGACCATGTGACCAAGGCAGGTGGGCCAGGTCCAGCTGGCTGTCAGCTCGACAGGGCCACATGACGTTTCCGTAAAGCCCGTGGGCGGATCGCCTTGCTGGGCGGTTATGTCTTGAAGGCTGTCCTGCACCTGGGCGTTAATGAGCAGGCCTCACCCGAGCCTCACGGCCGAGGCTGGCCTCCAGGCACCTGGCCACCCTGCCAGGCTGCATCCCAGTCTTCAGGGCCACCCCAACCTGGACCTTACCTGCAGGCTTTGTGGGCTTGCAGGTCAGGGGACAGCGCGCCTCCTACTCCTGTTGGACTGCCCTGCTGGGGCACGTTTGGGTACTGAAGGCCACCCCACGGGTGCACAAGTGCCACTGGACCTCCCAGCTAGACTGGCCCTGGCCCCTCCTGAGCCACCTTCCAGGGAGGCATTTGGATCCCGAGGGCTGCTTCACCCATAGGCTTTGCAGAAATGCCATGTAGGCCCTTCTGGAGCTGACAGCCAGCTGGGCTTTAGCCCGTCCCCCATTGGCCACATGGTTGGGGACACATTTGGGGCCTGAGGACCACCCTGCATCCAGGATTTCTTTAGCAGGAAACGCTTTTGTTTTTGGAAAACTCTAATAGTTAAGTCATAAGGACTATTTTTCTAGAAAAAAAAATCTGTTTTATATTGAGTAATACACCCTTTCTGTTTATCTGATTTTTACTCTTAACTGTTACAACAAAGCCTTTGAACAGTGGAGTAAAAATTGAACTTTTGTGGGGCCAGCAGGTGGTGTGTTGGTTAAAAATCACTGGACTTCCACAGGGCCAACCGCAGTTCAAGTCCTGGACCTGGCAGCTTGTTTTCTTACTTTCCTTCTCTCTCTCTCTCTCTCTCTCTCACTCTGTCCCTCTCTGGTCAAATTAAATCAATAAAGTTAAATAAAATGATTATTTTAAAAATATATATATTTATATTGAACTTTTGGGTTGTGAATTTCTACTTGTTTTCTGGGACCTCATCCTATTTTGTCAAATCCGGGCTTTTTCTGGGACTTGCTTCTGTTCATCCTTGTTGTCTCGCATCACGCAGGAAGGGTATTCCTTTCCTCTCAGTATCGCCCCCTTCTGATTTCCTCCATAGCAAAATACAAATGAAATTAAAATTAATTGCTAATAATAAATCGACTCATTCAGAAGGCTAGTGACACTGGAAACTCTGCCGAGTTGTTTCTAACCAGCTTGGCTCCCTAATAGCACAAGGGTGCCTTCCTCAGAGCCTCTACTTCTTTCTAGATGACATCTACTTAATTTTTCAAAAAACGTGTTTACTCCATGACCAAGAGAGACACAGAGAGAGAGAGAGAGACAGCACTTCCTCCACCCCCAAGGTCTGGTGCTGCAGCCCGCTCCCAACCTCAGCCAGCCCGGCCATGGTCAAGCAGGTGCCCAGCATGCGCAGAGTGGCCTCTGGGCCCTAGTCATCCCCGTCTCCACGACCCCCGCTTCCGTGGTGGACTGCCTTTCAGAACTGCCATTCCACCATCTTACCTTCTTCGTCAGCTTAATTTTAAAGTCAGGGCTTTTCCCTTACTGTTAGTAGTTTTTATGTTTGTTTTAATTATGTGGACCATTGCTGTGGAGGGTAGTCGTTTTGTTTTAACAAAGTTACTATCTTTAATTAATATCTTTTTTTGTTTTAAAGACTGTGAACCGGAAGAGCTGACTGACTGGTCTATGGATGAAAAATGTTCATTTTGCAACCTACAAAGAGAAGCAGTCAGTGTAAGTTTTAGTGCCTTTAAATTATTTCTAACACATTTTTTAACTTAATTTGTTTTGAAAATTTGTGATTCACAGTGGAAGTTGAGATCTTAGTAAATGAAAATAATATTTAAAGTCTTGTGTTGGAAGTCTAACATTAACTTCCATGTGAAGGTTCTAGAAAACTCAACTTTTTGCTTATTTCTGATATCTTTCTTATTGTTCCCTTAGTTGTACGGAACTCATAATGTTCCGTAGAAATCTGTTTTGTGCTGAGGTGTAACATACAGGGTGAGCTTGGAGGCCCGGGCTGGCCCACGACACCCTTCAGTCTGGCTGTGGGGAGTCAGTGGCAGGGAGCTGGCCAGTACACAGCGGGGTCTCCGTCGACCTTGGCGTCTTCGGGTTGCCCCCGTCGTACAGGCGATGAGCAGCCGCGCCCGCTGTACCTGAGGCTCGCTGCGTGCGCTCATGTCCTGACTCCTGGCCTTCCTTTGTCGGAAGGACTGAGAAGAAATGGGCACTTGAGACTCTGCCAGCTTGGGTCACACGAGTGGCTAACATTGGCTTGGCTGGTAAGACTTTCTGATAGGATTCCGTCCCTGCATGCCACTCAGTGAAGTTACTCTGCAGCGTACTTTGCCTCTCCCTGTTTTGACTACAGTTTTGCTGAGGAATAGGCTCTTCTGGCCATTGGTCAGAGCTCAGTTTTTTCCTGACATCTGCTCCAAATTTTATGTTTCCTCTGTATGAACTGATATATGTTATAAGGTAAAATAAACGAGCATTTAGAGAATTCACTTTTTGCCGTTTTTAATGAAACTTTATGTGTAAGTAAAAAGCGATTTCGTATGTTGTTTTCTTCACATTTAGGATTGTATACCATCTCTTGATTCTTCACAGTCAACACCAACAGAGGAGCTATCATCTCAGGGCCAGTCCAACACTGATAAGATTGAATACCAAGCAGAAAATTACCTAAATGCACTCTTTCGAAAGAAAGGTAATATTAGTGTACATTCTCTTTTAAAAATTGCAGTAGAAATATAAAAATGTTGGAACTTAAACAGAAATTTATGTCAGTTCTACTTCATTCTTTTTTCCTTTCTTTTTCCTTAAGTTTCTTTCTTTCTTTCTTTCTTTCTTTTTTTTTTTATGTTTTTAGAGCAGTGGAATTCTTAATCACTCTACTGGTAGTCTTGAATTAGTCATTTCTTTTCAGAATTCTTCCCTCAAATCTCTCCCCACCTGTATCGTCTAATTTCTTTTTTCTACTGTAGGCAGCTTAGAAACGTTTTTCCTTCTGCTTCTGCTCTGTCCTATTTCATTGCTGTTCTCAAGACCTGAGAAGTGGTTTGCTGTGCAGTGAGTGCAGCTGTACATGTTGCAAAGCTGCTCTGCTCTGCCAGGTGAACTCTCTCCGCCAGGCAGAAGTACACGTGCTGGCTTGCTGGTTCAGCATATCCCCGGTAGCTTCAGTGTGCTTACTTAACGCCAAAGGCCAGTGTTGTTTTTTACTTCTTGTCTGTCTGAACTATTCAGACCAAAAGGTTCTTGTCTCACGTATTCCTTTACTTGATACACAGGTATTAGGCAGAAGTCATTTTATATTTTAGTTTCTTGGGAACAATATAAAAATATATAATGTTGTACTTATTTATCGTTTTGTTCTTGGCCAAATATCTGTGGTAATAGGGTGCCTTATTTTTTACCGCGTGGACCTTTGATTAAGTTATTATGGCGTGTGTTTGGGTGAGTGGGATTACCCTACCTCTCAGCTTTTAGTTTAAAAAGATTGCCATATTCTCATCTAGGCGTTGACTCTATTCTGTTCTCCTTTAAAATTAGGTAAGGTCAGATACCTTCTATTAAAATGATAAGTGTCCTGTTTTAATCTGTAATGTTGAAAATAGGCCTGACCTTTGAGAAAGGAGTCTTAATTTTAAGTATTATGAGTCTTTTATGTGTTGAATGAAATATGACAATCCTCTGATTAGAAGACTCTTTAGTTTAATTCAAAGACCTAGTTAAGAACTGAATTTTTTTTAAGAACAAGGGACTAAAAGCCTTTTCTTGTGTTGCTGAAGTTGAGAAATTTGCATTATCTTTAAAACAACACATTATTTTTCAAAATTTTTGGTCTGAATCAATGTAAATAATATTTTTCATGCTTTCCTTAAGTTTGTGGTATACTCTGCCAGTGTACTGACATGCATAGGAAGCAGTATTAGCAGATAGATCACGATGTGATGAGGGGAATGTATGCGTTTATACACGTGAGCATAGTACATTCCGTCTGCTTGGAACTTCCTAATCAGTCTCCTGTCCTTTAAGTCGTTGTAATACTAGTTACTAGAGTTGTCAATAAATAATAACCTTTAGTTTTTCATAGTATGGAGTTAGCCTGTGCTCCACTGCCCTGTTAAGAGTAATCAGTAAAAACTTGGTACTATTTCAGCTGATTCAAGCATCTGGGTCTGCAAGAGGTCTTCTCCCAGTGGTTGGGTGAGTGTTCTTGGATATTTAGTGACCTCTCCATTTGGGGATTTATTAGTTTTCTTCAAGGTCCTTGGAAAGATTGTAGAGTTTTTAAAGATTCTTGTTAGTGTTTTTTGCTTTATTTAAGGTCTCATCTTTGTTAATTCCTTTTTTTGTGTGATTTATCCTCACTTTCCAAATTTAATTAAGCATAAGGGTCTTTTACTCCTTTACCTGGATATGTTTTTGTTATTTGCTTTTTTATTTTCTTTTGATAAAGTAATTTTAGAAATTTCCAATACGATTTGGCCAGGATGGGGCTAGAAAATAGTAATAATCATGATCTTAACAGCTGTGTTTCTTTTTGGAATTGTGCTGCGAAGTCTACTTTGAAATAAAAGGCAAGAAATATTTTTGAAAACAAGAAATATGCAGAGACCTCAGAAAGTTCATGGGAAATGGAATTGAAGTATGACCTTATTTTGGTGCAAAAAAAAAAAATACTGAAACCCATGCATGGCTTTTCATACTGTACATTCTCCACGGGCTTTATGAAGACATTCCCCACCATACTTCTGAGGCTTTGAAGTAGCAAAGAAATGTTAATAAAGCATCTTGCTAGGGAAGCAAAATTTTGTTTTCTGAAAATTTTCCAAATTTATTCATTTTTAGGAATTTTTTATATTGGTAGCATTGGTGTTACTGATGCTTTAAATCCCTTAGTTTGAAAACTGTGTTTATGTTGATCGTCTTGCTAAAACATAAATAAACCTTTTGCTATTATTATTGTGTCTTTCCCAACTTTTGGCTTGTTATGATGCTAATGATAAATGCAAAGTCTTATTGAGAATACCATTAGGGAAAGTGATAATCGAAGTCATTAATTATGATTGATACTAAGCCTTTTTTATTCCTTATTTAATTTCTAAACAATATTGAGTAGTTAGGTAGTATTGTTACAGTTTTAACATGTAGGAAATAATGAGACTCACAGAAGGTGAATAACATGTTTCTTAGTTCTGCATTCTAAGTATTTGAGCCCTCAAAAAGAAACTAAAAAGTGAAAGGTTTTTGGTAAGGGGCATTTATACTCTTTTAAGTACTGAGTAGAGATACTTTTTAAGTCCTAAGGAACTTCTCGTTTTCTGCAATTTAGCAGCCTAGGATTAGAATTATTTATTTAAATTAGATAGAGAGAGGAACTATGTGAAATGTACTATATTGCTCATAGGTTTTTTTTTTCCTGTGAACAATGTAGTGATTAGTCTCCTTATAGTGTTTATTAATAGATTATGGAAATGCCACTGCCTTTAAGTTTTCTTGGGAGGAAGCCTATTACTTAAGCAGAGTATAATTTAGATAAACTCGTAAAATTAGAGGCTCGCCTGGGACCAGCAGGTGGCATGGTGGTTGAGGCGCTGGACTCCCACATGGCTGACCACAGCTCAAGTCCTGGATCTGGCAACTTGCTTTCTCGCTTTCTGTTTCACTCTCTGTCTCTCTTTGGTCAAATTAAAAAATAATAACAAATAAAACAATAAATATTTTTTAAAAATCAGAGACTCATCAAAAATGCTCTTTCACTGTTGAATAAATAGAGTTGGGGGAGGGTGGTACATAAGAGAACTTTTACATGGTTTTATATATTCTTTACTTTAGAAATGTTTCAAAATTAAATTCCCTAAAATTAACCCTAAATTTAACTAGAGTGCTGTAGTAAAATGAAAACTTCATAATAGCAGGGTCTTAGCTTTGTTTATTGAAAAGTCCTCAGAATCTGGGACTGTACCTGTCACATCTTCAGTTCTCAGTAAATATTTCTAGAATAAACAAATGAGTGAGTGAATACTAAGATAAACTATACCCAGGTGTTTTCTACTTTCTGTAAGTATTAGGTGGTATTCAAACTTCACTTACTCGATTGGATGTAGTAACTTACTTAGCCACCTACATATGGTTTACCTTTCCCTTCTTTCTGAGACAGTATTATTGTGTATATTTCAGATATCAGTTTGTCTTGAATGCCGATTAACATAAGGACGTGTGTGTGTGTGTGTGTCTGTGTGTGTGTGTATGTGTGTATGTGTCTGTGTCTGTGTGCGTATTCTTGTCCATAGCTATCCTTATGAGACATTGGGTCATCCGAAAAGTCATGGCACATTTTTGCATAGAAGAACATAGGAACATAGAACATAGAAATATATGTCATATTTTATTTTTTAATTTTTAAATTTGTTTAGGTTTTTGCCCTAGGGTGCATGTGCTCACTGCAGAGAGACAGAGAGATAGAGAGAAGGAAAGTAAGAAATCACCTCTCAGGGTGGATGGTCATGCCACAGTCCCTTCTCCACTCTCCTCTCAGGATTTTGGGCCGACCCACACACGTGCCGGCATGATTTCCAAGCCACTAGGTCCAGGACTTTCAGTGCGATCTACCATGTGGGAGTCCAGCACCTTAACCACTATGCCACCTACTGACCTCTCATCTTTTATTTTTAAATTAAGGAAGAGACTTGACTGAATTGCACAGGTAGTATGCAGGTAGTAGTCGAACAAACGATGCTTCTGAAAACGTCATAAATGTCATAAAATGCGGCTGTCTTTCATCGAGATGGAGTGTTCTGCTTTGTCTTTGGCTCCCCCACATGTTTAGCCTCATGTTACCACTGTCCTGATCATTTTTTCCTGGAGATTTTCTTCATGGACTTGATAGTTAGTTGAAAGTTTCTTTTAACCAATCTTTTTGCCTTAAATTAATTGGTACATGTGAAGTTTTCCATGCCTTTTCTGAATGTATACCCTTTTCTGTTCAGACACTTACTATTTAAGATCTATGCTGTATCATGAAATGAGCCAAGTCATGCTGATGTTAGCGTACTTGATAGGTACCAGGGTAGCAGTTAGGCCAGCCAAAACATTTTTTAGCATTATTATTCGTCTGTTTGACTCCATTTATTTATTTATTACTAATTTTTTTTATTGTCAGAGTAATTTGACATTTTATTTAAAATCTGCATCATGAGGTATATGTTATATATATTTTTCAACAGGGCACTTTACAGTTTTCTGTTGATTGTTTCTTCCCTTTGTACTCCACACCCACCTTTACCACACACTCCCCTACCTTACCATTTCTAGTTCCTACGCTCATACTCTGCACAGCCATATCTTCAGATACTTCCTTTTCTGCCACATAGTATAAATACTTGGTACAGATTGAGTGGGGGGATATACAGTGTGTGTCCTTCCAAGTCTGGCTCACGTTGCTCAACAGTAAATCTTCTGTGTTCATCCACTTTGAATCAAACAAGAGGGTCTCATTGTTTCTTACAGCTGAGTGATATTCCATAGTATGTATGTGCCAGTCATCAGCTTTTGGACACATCAGTTTTTGAGGAATCTCCATATGGTTTTCAACAGAGATTGTACTAATTTTACAACCCCACAGCAGTTGAAGAGGGTTCTCTTTTCACCATGCTTCACTAGCACTTGTTCTTTACATTCGATCTTTGCCATTGTAACTGG